TCCTTCCATTTTGCTCACGATGTCATTATCATCTGGGGTGAGCTGGACAGGTTCCTCAGTAAACTGAGAATCAAAGTTGTCCAACCCGAATCCCTCAGACATACTTGGTTGAAGGGAGGCACTACTTGCTTTCGCTCCATCATGTCCCCGTCAACATTTTGAAAGAATGGATGCTCTTGAACATCAGCAAAGCCCCCCTGAGGATGGCAACCCAATCGTTCCTTTGGGTCCCTGCTCAGAAAACTCTTCAGGACACTTGCAGCTTCTACAGACAGACACCGAGGTATACGAATTTCTCTTTCCAAAATGACTTGATAGAGATTATTGTTTGAGTTTTGGTCAGGATTATCAGAGCTCTCATCAAGATGAAAAGGAGACTCTCCAATCAACATCTCATACATCAGTACTCCGAGAGTCCACCAGTCCACACTGAAACCATAATCTTCCCCCCTTACAATTCCTGGAGCCAGGTAATTAGGAATGCCACAGAAAGTGCTGGTCACATCTCCGGGCTGTAAGCCTTCCTTACATATGCAATAGTCGGTGAGTCTAATGTGCCCTTCTGAGTCCAGTAGAATATTGTCCACTTTCAAATTTCTATACAGTATCCCTCGCTGATGAAGATAGTTGAAGGCCAAACTGACTTCTGCAGAGTAAAACCTGGCATGTTCTTCAGGAAGGAATCTTTGTTGCTGCAGATGAAACATCAGATCTCCACCATTTATGTAGTCTAGCACAAAGAACAGTCTGCTTTCTGTCTGGAAGCAAGAATGCCGTCCTACAAGAAAAGGATGATTAGTGGCCTGCTGTAAAACGTGCTTTTCTGTCTGTACCCAATCAGTGTTGACAAGCTCTTTTTTCACTGCTTTCATTGCATACAGACCACCTGATTTTTTCAGTTGGACTAACAGTACTTTCCCATAACTCCCTCTGCCTATCACACGAAGCAAATCAAAGTCCTGAAGACCTAAACTAGGTGAAGCTTTGCCACTTTCCCTGTTGTTCCCTGCCTCATTCTTTTCATCAACTTGTTCTAAAGCCTCATGAGTTGCAAGGTTCTGTGGGGTCGCTGTCTGTGCAGGGTCTGAAGCCATGGATGATGGATCGACTGGCATCAGGGCGTCTGATGGTAAAGAATGCTGCCCACATTCAACTGTGACGAGTGTGTGGCACTTCTTGTGAACCGAGAGTTTACATTTGGTGCACTTATATACCTGGTGGCCAAGTCCCCCTACACGATCTGGGCAGACAGCACAGTGAGCCTGCCTGCTGAAGCGTTTGGCTTGAAAAGTGTGGCCATTAGCACAATACAGCTTTCTCCAGCAGCCTGCAGCTCTGTGGTGGATGGATTTCTCTTCTCCGGGACAAGGCATTTTAGGATGTTCTGGTATACAGGGCGGTACATGAACTAAGAGTTCATTTTGAGAACATGAGTTTTTTAGTCCAGAAAGCCTAAAGGCCTCTTCTACCTCCACCTGAGGTGACACAGTGTATGAGTCTCCTTCCTCATCTACCCAGTCTGTGGTGAAAAGCTGTTTATTGTCCAAACACCCCATATCTCGATCTTTATCACATAGGCCCACAAGGGAGATGGAATTCTCAAAAGATGTTGTCAAGATGCCTCTTCCCAAAATCAGGGCCGATTGGGTAGAGGTGTGGGTCATGGAGGTGCCTGGGAAGAAGGGACCATAGACAGGTTGGCTGCCCAGGTAAATGGTCAGGAATGAGAATGAGTGCAGCCTGACTTCCTGTAGGGACCACACTGGCCTGAAGTCTGCAAGGCTCCCTGTGAAGTTGTTTCTGATAGTGGCACCCAGGCCTGGGTGGATGTACACCGGGCTTCTCAGTGTCTCTTGGAGGCCACTGGCTGTGACTTCAGTCTCCCGCACTGGACTTTGACTCTTGGTTTTTTGTGCCCGGGTCTGGGGAGACCTGCCCAGAGCTACGGGGTGTTTCTGGGCCTGGTGATAGTTCTCCTGGGCTCTTTCCAATTTCTGTGCCTTTGGTATTTGGGCTTAGGGAGACTTCATAGAGGTACCTTGATTTTGATAGGTCCCTGGTGGTCACTCCCCTAGAGACCATCCCTGGGGTGTCTGTGACAGTCGTGTGGCTACTGCAATGTGGCCTGCAGCCTCTGGATG